GTGCCCTATAGCGAAAAAACCTCTCCAAAAAATAAATAAATAAATAAATAAATAAAAATAAAAAAAAAAATGTCCAGAATAGGGACCAGCAGATGACATAATAGCTACGTTGCTGGACTCCCATGTAGTTGACCACAGTTTGAGTCCCAGACCCAGTGGCTTAAACTCACTCCAGGCGCGTGTGCATGTGTGCCGAAGATCCCGAGAGGAGAATGGAGGAGAAGGGATTGCGGTGTGGCCATCTCTCTGGGGGATGACTTCTCGCTTTCTGTCTCTCTGTTTCTCTCTGTCTTTCTGGTGAGCACACACGCCCCCTATAGCAAAAACCTCTCCAAAAAAAAAGTGCAGAATAGGCAAATTTATATAGAGACTAGATTGGTGATTACCAGGAACTGGGGGTGGGGAGGGGAGGGCTGAACAGGTGACAACTAGTGACAGACATTGACCAGAGATTCAAGGTTTCTCCTTGGGTTGATAAAAATGTTCTAGTAGTGTAGAAATGTTTGCACAGATCTATGGCTACATTAAAAACCACAACCATAGACTTTAAGTAAGCAAATTGTATGGTATGTGAATTTGGTTTCAATGAAGCTGTTAAAACAAAAACCAAAACCCCAAAAATACATGCATTTGATTTGGGCTTCCAGTCAAGATGGGGTGACAAAGGACCAGGTTTATCTTCCCACTGGAAACTAATAAAAAATAGGAACAAATAAATGAAACAAGACCTTAAGGCACTGGACGTCAGGCATTGAAGGACAGTGATCCTTTCGAAACAGAAAACACAGCCCAGGGGAGGGGAATTGCAGAAGGAGGAGCAGATCCCTGAATGAAGAGACAGAGTTAGAACTCTGGGGATGCCTAGGCAGCTAGAGTTCACACTGCAGGGCCCCAGGGAGGTAGAGCTACGCAGAGAAAACTCAGGACATGCAGAGTTCTCCCCGAACATTCCGTGTAGCCTAAATCAGGGAATGCATATGACAAAACTACCCAAAGCCTAGTGAACATGTCCACCCACAGAATGAGAGGGAAGGAATTGTGCCTGGTATCACACAGAGCCAAGAGTAATGTCTCTTCCCAACAGTCAAAATGGAAAACCTCATAGTTCACAGGGCACTAAGGGGATGTTGGGCAAGCCAGTGGCGTGGTGGCTAAGGCAGCTGGATCCCACCTGGTTGGCTACACAGTTTGATCCCAGACCCAACAGCTTGAGAAACATACCAGGTACATGTATGTGCATGCCAGAAATCCCAAAAAGATGGAGACATGGAGGAGAAAGGATTGTGGCATGACCATATTCTTTTGGGGATGCCTTCTCTCTCTGTCTCTGTCTCTGTCTCTCTCTCTGGTGAGTATATGTGCCATGTGCCAAATTAAAAAAAAACACAGGTTGTACAAAGGAATGAACAACATGGAAAATGGTAATTATATGAGTAAATACAATGACTTTTTCTTACTATTTAAAAAGGGATTTTGGCATGGCCATCCCCCCGGGGGGTGATTTCTTGCTTTCTACCTCTCTGTCTCTCTGTCTTTCTGGTGAGCGCACGTGACCTATAGCAACCCCCCTCTCCCCCCCAAAAAAGTAATATGTTTACTTACAAGGCAAGAATAATAGCATACTGTGGAGTTTATATTATATGTAGAAGTAAATAACAGCAGTACAAATGCCAGGATGGAAGAAATTAAATTATGCTGTTGTAAGGGTTTTTTTTATAAACTATATGTGAAGTAGTATAACATCACTTGGAGGTGGACTGTGATGAGTTAAAGATGTGTACTATACGTGCTAAAGCAACCACTAAAAAAAGACTAGAAAGACATACAACTAAAAAGTGGAAAAAAAGGAGAATTATTCAGGCCAGCCAGTGGTGTGGTGGCTAAGGTGCTAGATCCCACATGACCGACTTTGTAGTTCGACCTGGCAACCTGAAAAACACACTGGGCATGTGTGCCTGCCAAGTCTGGAGAGAAGAATGGAAGAGAAGGGATTGTGGTGTGGCCATACTCCCCGGGAAGTGATTTCTCACTTTCCCTCTCTTCTTGTCTCTCCATCTGTCTGTCTCTCTGGTGAGCGAACACGCCCTATAGCAAAAGCTAAAAGCAAACAAATGAAACAGGAGAATCATTTTTAAAAAGATGGTAGAAAAATAAGGGCAGCTGGTGGTGTGGTGGTAAAGGCAGTTGGATCCCAGATGGCCTACTGCATGGTTCAAGTCCTGGGTCCAGTAGCTTCAGAAACACACTGGGGGAGAGGGGTATGCACGTATAGCCCAAAATCCCAAGAGGAGAATGAAGAAGGGGTTGCAGTGTGGTCGTTCCCCCTGGAGACTGATTTCTCACTTTCTCTCTCACTCGCTTCAGCAAACCTAGGAATGAACCGTCGGTGCATGCAAAAACATGAGAGAATCTCAACATAATTACACCGATTGAAAGACATTAGACACAGAGGAATACGTACTGTACAGGTCTATTTATATAAAATCCTAGAACATGCAGACTAATCTAGTGTCAGAAAGCAGATCAGTTGCCTGGGGACAGGGAGGGAGATAAGAAATGACAAGGAGTACAAGGAAAGTTCAGGAGTGACAGATATGTTCACTGCCTTGATTGCAGGGAGAGTTTCATGTGTGCGTATCTACGTCGAAACTTAACAAACTGTGCACCACCATCAATGCATACGGTTTGTTATATGCCAAGCATACCTCTGACAAAGCTGTTACAAGAAAACACCCCAAACATACCTTTAGGTTTTTATCGAGTAGGTTGACTTTAAGAAAAGTAATAAAGAAGCCTGTAGGTGGCGTGGTGGTTAAGGCACTGGACTCCCACATGGCTGACTGAGGTTCAAGTCCTGGACCTGGCAACTTGCTTTCTCACTTTCCCTCTCTCTCTCTTTGCTAAAATTGAACCACAGTAATAATGAATAATATAAAATTAAATAATTTTGGAAACCAGCAGATGGCATAATGGTTACGTTGCTAGACTCATACATAGTCAACTGCAGTTTGAGTCCTGGACCCAGTGGCTTAAAACTTACGTTGGGCGTGTGTGTGTGTGCGTGAGTGCCCAAAATCCCAAGAGGAGAATGGAAGAGAAGAAATTGCAGCGTGGCCTTCCCGCCTGTGGGTTGATTTCTCACTTTTGGTCTCTCTGTCTTTGGTGAGTACATACGCCCTGTGGCAAAAATATCTCTTAAAAAAATAAAAAAAGAAATAAGAGATTTTTGCCTTAGGGCCCAAGTACTCTTGGGAGACAGAAGGAGAGAGAGAGAGAAAAACAGAGATAGTGAGAGGGAAAGTGAGAAATCACTGCCCAGGAGGCATGGCCATGCCACAATCTCTTCTCCTCCATTCTCCTTTCAGGATCTTGGGCACGCATGCACACGCACCCAGCATGATTTTCAAAGCTCTAGGTCTGGGACTTGAACTGTGGTTGGCCTTATGGAAGTTCAGTGATGTAACCCTGATGCCATCTGCTGGCCCCCATATCCTCTTATTTAATCTTCTCAGCAACCTAGAGTAATAGGGTCTCTGGTTTCATTTGACCCATGAGGAAACTCAGAGAGGCTAGGTGATCTGCCTGAGGTCACATAGCTAGACCAGTACTTCCAGCATCTGACTCCAGAGCTGGCACCCCATCCCCTGTGCTGTGCTCTCTCTCCTCCTCCCAGTCCCGAGCACCCTTTCTCTGGGTGCTACTGTGCGCGTACACAGGAGTTGGGAACGTGAGGTAGAGGTGTAGAGAATGAGAGTGACAGCTGTCTGTCTGCCCCTCTGCCTGCAGGAGTCTCATCCTTGCTGCTTGCCTGGGCCTGGGCCTGTGGCTGTCTCTGGACACTTCCCAGCGGCCTGAACAGCTGGTGTCCTTTGTGGGGATCTGCATGTTCCTCCTCCTCCTCTTTGCCTGCTCCAAGCATCGCAGCGCAGTGAGTGCTTAACTTCAAGCCCAGGGCTAGAAGTGAGCGGGAGCCCCTTTCTCCTGCCCCCCAGACTGGGCAGATGTGCCTGGTGGGTGAATCCGGGGGCTCAGAGCTAGAGCAAGAGCAGTGTGCATCAGGACAGCTCCTGTGAGGCTGGTGAGGGGGAGTCTAGGACGAGCCCCCACGTGGGCTGTCACCTCCCTCAGCTGGAGTCTGAGCAGGGCAGGGGGTGCTGCCTCAGGAGACCTGCCTGGTGCCTTTGCACACTCAGAGGCACGAGGGGCGTTTGTGTCCTTGGCCACGTGTTCTTGTCCTCTGATCAGTCCAAGCCTGGTCGTCACGTCTGTAGACTTGGGAGCCACCTCCCACCCCAGAGCACATAGAACCAGAGTTCCAGAGACTGTCCGAGGAGCCAAGGCTTTCCTGGACTCACTGGTGTAAAATAGTGGCTGTCAAAGTCTGCTCCCCAGGCCAGCAGCTTCAGCATCACTGTGGAACTTGTTAGAAATACCAATTCATGGGGCCAGCGGATGGTGTAGTGGTTAGGTTGCTGGATTCCCACATAGCTGACTACGGTTAGACTCCTGGACCTGGAGGCTTGAGAATCATGCCGGGTGCATGTGCATGCATGCCTAAGATCCTGGAAGGAGAATGGAGGAGAAGAGATTGCAGCATAGCTATCCCTTCTGGGGGGTGATTTCTCACTTTCCTTCTCACCGTCTCTGTCTCTCTCTCTCTTCCTGGTGAAAGCACATGTCCTAAGGCAAAACAAACAAACAAACAAGCAAATAATAAATAAATAAATTCATAGCCCTATCGTAGACCTACAGAGTCAGAAACCCAGCAGCAAGGCCTAGCTAAAGCGTCCATCTGCACATTCCAGAGTCCCTGCCTGCACGCCCCTGGTTGGGCCTGCCAGTCTGGGCAGATAGACCCTCTCTCTTTCTCTCTCCCCGTCTGTGGTCTGTGGCTGAGCAACCAGTCCCTGGTATCAGGACCTCTCCTTTTTCCTGGGGTGGCTACTACCTCCCCCAGGCTATGGCCACACCTTGCAGGAGCTGGCAGTGCAACCCTGAGCTTAGGGGTCACTGCTAAGGGATCATTAAGAGCTGAGAATGAACAGCAGCCCTAAGGAACCTGCTCCCCTCTGCGCAGGAGATGATGAGTGGAGATGAGATTGGGTGGGCCTTGCCTGTGGAGGAGCTGAGGAGGCTGGGTAGACAGGTCACACTCAGTGGAGAGGAAACAGGAGCTCAGGTCCCGAGCTTGGACGCAGGGTCTAAGTGCCGTGGCATGTCCGAGGCTGCACCCGCCCTGCCCAGGGCAGGGAGTGACTGTTGGCAACAGGCCAGGGCTCTGACTGGGTCTGCCCCAACCGCACAGCTGGCCCAAAGCTCCTGGCACCCCTTAGCAGCCCTATGTCGTCTCCGCCATCCTGTTAACCTGTGGATTCCCTGCGAACTGAGCTCACCAGGACCTGCTTTTGGGTGGCAGGTGTCCTGGCGGGCTGTGTTCTGGGGCCTTGGGATGCAGTTTGCACTTGGACTCTTCGTCATCAGAACAGAACCAGGGTTCGTCGCGTTCCAGTGGCTGGGCAACCAGATCCAGGTATGCACATGGGCCTCCTCCCAGAGCATCGGAGGTTGCCAAGAAACGGAGGGGAAGCCATGGAGTTAGGGGGAAGGTGGGTGCAGCCATAGGGAAGGCTGGGAGCAGGAGGGCAGGTGTGGACTGGGGCCCTGGACCAGGTGGGCGGCTGGGGGCTGGGCAGAGCAGCTGCTGCTTTCCTCGTCTGGCCCTGCCGACCCAGCCAGAGTGGTGCTTTGAGAGACTGAGTCATATATGGAGGAGATCCCAGACAGAGAGGCCTGCAGCAGGCACCAGTGATCTCAAAATGATTACAGTTAAAGGTGTGAAAAAAACCCACAATTAATTTACTTAGTGTGTGTGTGCACGCGCATGTGTGTATACATACGTTTAAAAGTAATGTTTGTTGAAGTTATACTCTTTTATTCAAATTTTAATTGTGAAATATACGTAACATTTAGCATTTTTTTTTTATTAAGATTTTTGCCATAGGGCACAGGTGCTCACAGAGAGAGACAGTAAAAGAGAAAGTGAGATATCACCTCCCAAGGGGGATGGCCCTGCCACAATCCCTGCTGCTCCATTCTCATCCTGAGATTTTGGGCACACATATGCATGCGCCTGGAGTGATTTTTTTAAAAAAGAATTATTTATTTATTAATTTATTTTAATTTGACCAGAGAGAGATAGAGAGGGAGGGAAAGTGAGAAAGCAAGCCACCAGGTCCAGGACTCGAATCGTGGTTGGCCGTGTGGGAGTGTCCAGCGCCTTAACCACCAAAGCCACTTGCTGGTCCCCCTGGTGTGATTTTTAAGCTTCTAGGTCTGAGACTCGAACCATGGTCAGCCATGTGGGAGTCTGGCATCTTAACCACTACACCACCTGCTGACCTTGCATTTTAGCTATTTTTAAGTGCTATTAAGTTCATACATGTTGTGTAACCATTACAATTTTCTTTCTTAAAATTTTATATTTTTTAAAAAGTTTTATTTCTTCCGTGAGAGAGAGAAAGAGAGAATCCCCAGTAGGGTCTTTACTCCGTCATCTGCCACGAGCCTCAGATGGCCTGGGTCACATACACACATACACCTGGTCTGTGCTCAGGGAGGTCTCAGGACATACACCGAGGACTCTTCCTATGTGGGTCCAGTTTCGTTATTGCTGCACCGCCACCTCACCGTGGATTTCCTTTCTAAAATATAAATTATCGAGGACACGAGTTAATTCCCTACTCACCTCCCTCACGTCAGCTTGCATTTGCATGTGCTCTGTGTAGGGTAAAACCAGGGGATCCTGTGTGTCGGGACTGTGTCCACCTGCTGGCCTCGCTGCTGACATCTGTGTGGCTATTGTGGAGGACTAGACTGAGAGCTGCTGCTCTGGACCGTCCCTGTATTATAGACGAGAGGTCTGGCCAAGAGAAGTGACTCGTCCCTATAGTCACCTCACAAGTTCAGGACCTAAACACAGCTCTCCCATTTGAGTCCTGCAGCTGGACTTGAACATCAAGGGTACAAGCCTGGGGTGGAGACATGACTGGGAAAGACGGTGCCATTGGTTATCAGGGGTCAGAGCAAGCACAAAGGCCTGACCTTTGACATGTCTCGTATATTCTCTTCCTCCATTGTCCTAACAATGCTCATCTCAAAGTATTTCTTTTTCTTTTTTTCTTTCTTTCTTTTTTTTTTTTTTTTTGGTCATAGGGGCACATGCACTTACTAGAAAGGAAGAGAGAGAGAGGGAAAGTGAGAAAGCACCCACCAGGGGGATGGCCATGCCACAATCCCTTCTCCTCCATTCTCCTCTCAGGATTTTGGACATGCATGCATGTGCACCTGGCGTGATTTTCAAGCTGCTGGGTCTGGGACTTGAATGGTAGTGGGTCGTATGGGAGTCCAGCACCTTAACCACCTGCTGGCTCCCCCAGGTATTTCTTTAAAATTGAGGGGGCTGGCCCTGGAGCCTAGTGGTTAAGGGAAATAGATCACACATTCCTGACTGTGGTTCAAGTCCCCGCCTTGGTGGCACATGTGTGCCCCAAATCCTGACCTGATGGAGAAATAGAGGAGAGGGGCTGTGTCTTTCTCCCTCCCTGTCTCTGTCTCTGGAGAGCACATGTACCTTCTGGTAATTAAAAAAATAATAATAATTTTTTAAATTTCGGTTATTATTTATTTTTAATTTAAAATAATTATTTAATTTTACTTATTGTTGTTATTATTTTTAAAATTTGACTAGAGGGAGGCAGAGGAAAAGGAAAGTGAGAAAACAAGTGCCCAGGTCAGGGACTTGAACTGCAGTCAGCCATGCAGGAGTCCAGCGCCTTAAACACCGTGCCATCTGCTGGCCCCAATAATTAATTTTAAAAATAAAAATATTTAGAAATAAAATTGACCAAAAAGGATTCTCTTGTGGAGAATGTGCCTAGAAGGAGCAAGTGCCCACCTGTGGCTTTGGCAGATGTTGCCAGGGGACACACAGCGGCACCACACACTGGGGGTGGGTTGGGGGGGTACACGATGACTGTGTCCGGGGCCAACCTGTTGAGGCAGAAAGGCAGCGGAGGCGTTCCTCACCCCCATGAGGAGCAGGCCAGCTCCTCCCCTAGCCCCAGCCTGTTTCTCCTGCCGCCCTGGCCAGCGCCCTCCTTCTCGGAGCCTCACTCCCGTTTTGTTTTGTTCTCTTTTTTCCAGGTCTTCCTGAGCTACACCAAGGCCGGCTCCAGCTTCGTGTTTGGAGAAGCTCTAGTCAGGGATGTCTTTGCCTTTCAGGTCAGCACGACTATGGGTCCCAAAGGCCATTAGCAGTGGCTACCCACCCACGACCGGCTGGTGGGCGTCAGAGACCCTGGCTGGGCCGGGCTGAGGTGGAGGGTGGGGCAGGCCGAGGGGCAGGGAGGGGCCTGGAGGAGAAGAGGGGCCTGGAGGAGCTGAGGGACCAGGCCACATAAAGGGAAGGGCACCTGTCGGGAAGCTGGCTACCGGGAAGCCGAGGAACCCCAGCCTCAGGCCCAAGAGGGCCCAGCAATGCTGAATCACCTGGTGATAGGGTGTTACTAGATTTTGTACCATTTGGAAAAGTAAGACATTTCTATGTTCTTCTTCTTAAAGATGAGCCCCCAAATTATAGAATTTCTAGGAGGCTGAGGACAAAAAGCTGGGGTTGAGGGCCTTTCCTTTGGAGACCTTGATCTCTGATATGCTGCAGAAACTCTGGGCCTATGCTGGACCATTTCCAGAAATCCTTAGGCTCTCTCAGGGTATACGCTCAAGGCCCCTGGCAGGTTCCCTCTGCCAGGAAACCGGCCCTTATTAGCCAGCTGCAATCCGTCACTCCCTCCTCCGCACCCTCTGAGACCTTCAGTCCCTTCCTTTCTCTCTCGCTCCCTCCCTCTTCCTTCCATCCATTAAAAATATATTGTGCACCCCCACAGTGCAAAATAGTACAGGGAAAGTCAAGAGAAAGATGCTCTTTCAAAGACCTGGAGGTCTAGTGGTAGAACCCCAGCCCTAACTTAAAGCCAGGTGACTGAAGCTCTGTGTGCTACCGTGGACTACTTCGCTGACCTGGGTGGGGCTGCGGCTACATTTCTTCGTTCTCCAACTAACTGCCCAAGCGCCTGAATGCCTTTTTCAGAAAGAACTCCAGTGTAGTCCTGCTCTTCCTGCCTCTCACCCAAGTCGTCCAAGTCCCAAGACTCACTCTAGGCTTAAGTGCCACTTCCGAATGCCAGGCAGAGAGAGAGCTAGTGCCCTGCGCACCCCACAAGTGGGCCCTGCTTTCTTTCCTTCCTTCCTCTCTCCCTTCCTTCCTTCCTTCTTTCCTGTCTTCCTTTCTTTTTTCTCTTTCTTTCTTTTTGAGATTTTTGCTATAGGGTCTAGAGAGACAGAGAGACAGAAAGCGAGAAATCACCCCCCAGGGAGATGGCCATGCCACAGTCCTTTCTCTTCCAGTCTCTTCTTGGGATCTTGGACACACACACAAGTGCCCATGGTAAGGTTCAAGCCACTGGGTCCGGCTCGAACTGCAGTGGGACATGTGGGACTCCAGTGTCTCAACCATCATGCTACCTGCTGGCCCCTGGCCCTGCTTTTCTGCCACTGGTGCCAGGGTACCATGAAGACCTGTGTTCCCCACTGTGGCATGTCCCGGCCCACCATCACCTTAGAGCTGTCATGCAGGACCTCGTGCACGGGTTCCAGAGTTTCTACTTTTTATCTTTTCTCTGGCCACTGTTCCAGAGTCTCCCCACCTGCTAGGGTATTAGACACAGGAAGTTTTCAGCCTAAGCCAGAGACTTGGCCAAGGACTTTGGGGTTGGTGTTGAGCTGAGTCGTTAGTTGAGACCATCCTGCCTCTGACTCTGACCTCCAGTGAACCTCGGTGTCTATGGTACCAGCAGATTGGGGACTATCCATTCCCCTCAAGGACTTCTAGAAAGATCAGCCCTTAGAAGAAAGGGAGGGCACCAAAGTCCTGTCTTCTCAGCAGTTTTCCTGGCCCTGGGCAGATCTGCCCACCCACCAGTTTTGTGTGGAGAGGATATTGGGAGGCCCCAAAGGCCCCCTAACATTGGCCCCTTAGGGTAACACAGGGCTCCTCCCTTCATATTAGCATAACCAAGTGGGGCCACCCAAGATTTCAGGGAAGAGCAGTGAAGATCTGCCTGAGGATGACATCTGTGTCCACCCACACTCAGGAGTCCAGTCGGCTGTTCCCACTTTTTTTTTTTAAGAGAGATTTTTACTATAGGGCGTGTGTACTCACCAGAGTGACACAGGAAGGGAAAAGCCCCCCTCAGGGAGGGCTGCCATCCCTTCTACTCCTGGGATTTCGGGCATGCATGCACATATGCCCAGTGTGAGTTTCAAGCCACCAAGTCTGGGACTCGAACTGTGTTCAGCCGTGTGGGAATCCAGCACCTTAACCACCTGCTGGCCCTAGCTGCTCTCACTTTATAAACACGGCGGTTCTACCTGCCTGAGCAGCGGGGTCCCCGTGCAGTAAGAAAGGCACACATGAAAGTGCGTGAGGAGTCCCTACAGGAACAGGGGGGAAGATCCCCTGAGGAGGTGGCATCTGACATGAAGCTTCAGGACAGCAGAGATGGGGACACGTGGAGTGAGGCAGGAAGAGGAAACAGCCTGGGCAGAGTTGTGGGTGAGAACAGGCTGGCATGCCCGGTGCAGGGCCTGGCTCAGTTCGACAGGCACGTAGGCTGTTTCAAAAAGGGAAGTGGAAGTCTCGTTGGCCAAAGAAGCAGGGGAGGGGCCCGCTGGTGGCGTGGTAGGTAGGGCGTCTGGATCCCACATGTCTGTGTGAGTTGAATCCTGGACCTGGGCAACTTGAAAAACACACAGGGCACGTGAGTGCCTGCCCCAAATCCCGAGAGGGATATGGAGGAAAAGGGACTGTGGCATGGCCATCCCCCAGGAGATGATTTCTTTCTCTCTTTCGCTCTCTCCCTACTCCAGTGAGCACACGTACCCTAGAGCAAAACTAAGCAAACAAACAAAAAGCTGGGAAGAGGTGCTGGCAGGCCAACCAGCTGCCGTCCTCAGAGCGAGTCCCCCGTCCACTTCCCAACACCCACCTGCCCCACGTCGCTCTTGGTAGTTGCGGGTCTGCTGCCTGGCGTGTGTCAGTCATGTTCCCTCCCTCCTTCCCTCCCTGCCTGGAAGGATGTATACACACCAGCTGCATCTCTCCCGGATTCACCTTGGGGACGGTAAGTTCCTAGACCATCGGTACTAGGGAGGAGCGAGTGTTTCCCTTCGTGTTCCAGGTGGTCCATCAGCCCGGGCAGGAGCGGTGAGCGCTGCAGTCCCTGGGCAGTTAGGGCAGAACCAGAGCGAGACCCCGGACTGGCTCCCAGTCAAGGGATGTTTTCATCCTCATGCTGTGAGAACCGGTGGTGGTATGTCTGTCCTCTAAATACAAAAAGCAAGGCGAGCTCCGTGGCGTGGTAGTTAGAGCAGCTGAATCCCACATGGCCAACTACGCAGTCTGAATTCTGGACTCTGCAGCTTGGAAAACACCAGGTGCATGTGTCAACGTGCCCAAAATCCCCCAAAGAGGAAGAGATGGAGAAAGGATTGTGACACAACCATGCCCCGTTGAGGCGTGCTGTCTCCTCCCCATCTCTCTGTCTTTCTGGGAGAGCTCACATACCCTTTGGCAAACAATAAAAAAATAAATACAGAAAGCATAATGTTCATAATTTTTAAATACATGAATGGTAGCAAAAGACTTTGAGATTAGATGTTCAGATAAGAGAAAAGTAAGAGGGACCAGCAGTTGGCGTAATGGCTATGTTGCTGGACTCCCATGTAGTTGACCACGGTTGGAGTCCTGGACCCAGTGGCTTAAACTCACGTCAGGTGCATATACGTGTGTGCCCAAGATCCTGAGAGGAGGATGGAGGAGAAGAGATTGCGGTGTGGCCATCCCCCCTGGGGGGCGATTTTTCACTCTCTGCTCTGTCTCTGTCTTTCTGGCGAGTGCACATGCCCTATAGCAAAAACCTCTCCAAAAAAAGAGAGAGAGAGAGAAGTAAGAAGGGAGTTGAGTTTATCATTAACCAACTTCAGCAATTCCTAGCCAAACATTAGCAATTTCCTGGGCACAGATGCCCTGTCGCCTGGACAAATTTCTGGTCAGCATATTGGCCAATGGCATTCGAGCAGAGCTGGGCCAGATGTGGCTCTTTTGACATTAGACAAAAGAGCCACAAATTCACTCTCACAGAATTTAATTTACACACACCTCCCCACACCCTATAGCAAAATGAACACACACACACACATACACACACACACACACACTTTCCAAGTTTGGGACTTACCCTTGGATAGAGGTTGCTCTTCAACATAGGGCAGCCCCTTAGCCTAGTGATAAAGGGAGCTGATCCTCACATGGTTTGAATCCTGGCCCCAATGGCTTGAAACCCATGCATGTTTGTGTGCCCAAATCCTGACAAGACGGAGAAATGCAGGAAAAGCAGTTACAGTGTGACCATGCCCTGTAGGGGGTTCTCTCTCTCTCTCTCTCTCTCTCTGTCTCTCTCCAGTGATCACGAACTCCCTCTTGACAATTAAAAAAAAAAGAAGACAATGGTAGACTCGAGATTTCTCTCCATTCTTTCTGTGAGTCATATGAACTTCATCCAAGGCCTCTGGCCAGTTTCAGCCTGGGGAGGTCTTCTCTGAGCTCACTCACATTTTCAGAACCCAGGCTGCTTCCTGCTGGGCCACAGCCCAGCCCATCTCTTCTCCAGGAAGTAGAGTCTCCCTAGAGCCCTCACCCTTCCCTGGGCCTGGAGGCCAGCGGAGTTGACGGAGTTGACGTGGCAGTCACCTCCTGTGTGTCTCAGGTGGATTAATCCTTCCACCTTGGCCCCATCTCTCTGCTGGTAACTTTCCACACACATCACCCCTGCCCTCCCCCAGCGCCTCCTCCATCCTTCCTGGGTCTGGCTGACCCGTGAGCACTCACTCATCCTTCCACTCTGGCTCCAGCCCCTAGAACATGCACCCACCGATCTAGCTCAGCAGCACTGCTCAGATACTCTCCCTAGGGAACATGTAGGGTGAGGGGAGATACTTACAGCTCCAGGGGGGGTTCGAGGCATCTGCCCAGGGCAGACCACAATCCCCAGGGGTCAACAGTGCCACGTTTTTTGCATACACAAAAAGGGGAAACAAGATGAGGACTGAAAGGTGCCCTTGGATTTGGTGTTGAGGGGTCGCCAGTAACCTTCGCACAATTTCAG